GATGGTATGAATTTTGCTGAATTCAAAAATTTAGTCGCATTATCAAATGATTTTATACTTACAGCTACTCCAGATATCCTTCTGTGGATGAGTTGTACTTCTAAAACACAATTGGTAACGATTGGAGGGAACTTTGGTAACAGTGCTTAAAGATACCGCGAATAAGAGAAAATATCAAAACGATTTATGTATACTTGATATGTTTATGTACATTTCAAATGATGGTAGGCAGTTGTGATGATACTCAAAATTTTTCAGACAATTTTCTGATTTTGTTTACTCAATCGAGTGTTTGTTTGCGCTTGAATGTGCTTATTCGTTCGGTCGTTATCAGCATTTATCTTCAAAAATTCAGCCGGTTCAAGATTCTGTGAGCATAGATTAGGAGTAATGTGATTTTGTGAAGAAATGCATGGCTTGATCGACATCCATACGCTTGAACCCAACACGAGTACTGCTATTAGAAGGTGACATCCCGAATAGACCAAGTACTGAAAGCTCAAAGAATGACCGATTGCCAATAAATAATGGCAATTTCTTGTGTTCTTGATTACAGCAAAAATTCTCGCTGTTCTCGAACGCTTTATATTCATCAATCACAGCATAATATAGATCACAGCAAAATTCTTAATAAACCTCGTACTGCTGGAAGTGCATGAAATTTAGTCACTTTCCTTCGCAGCAAATCTCTTCAGCTGAACAAACAGATTGACAATACCTGTGATCGGATGGGCAGTCCAAGGGCATGGCTATCTGCAACCACGAAGGATAGAATGGCTTGTGCAACCTGTGAGACGAAATAATTAAGACCGAACACGAATGCGAATGATCCGAACTTAACTGCAGATGCCAGATTGATCCTGAAATCAATCATTCAATTTCATAGCACTCGATATGTCAGTTCCGCACTTGTGTTTCACGCCATTCATCCATTTTGCGACCGTTCATGCTGATGAGTTATCATTATCATTATTAGACAGCATCGTGACAGGTATCACATGCAGCCGAACTTGATGGTAGTTCGTGTGTTTGTGCGCTAATCAGCAACACCTACAACACTCTCTCAAATCTGCATTTCTTAGAATTCCTATTTGATTTATCAAACGGCTGAAGAGTCCTCAACTGAGACGCCAACTATCGAAGAACGGAATGAACCATTATCAGTTTTAGACGAACTATCAACGGCTTTCGTCGCAAAGATAACAATTCGTTATCGAACGATAACATAATTCGTAAGCGATAACAATTCGTAAGCCTGACGATAACAATTCGTAAACGTGAATGATAGCGCGATAAATCAGTGAAACAACCGATAATTCCAGTGGACAATTACTGATTAATGATGCAACTTGATGTAACTTCAACATTGACGGAGTGTCTTTATTTTATTATGATGCAAGTTTTTGATTGTTCATAAGGAATAATCAAACGAGTGAATTTGGAGTAGGAAGAGGCTGACTGATTGCTTGTGATTGCTATGGCACATGAAATGTTATGATGTTGTTTGTGATTTGCATTAATGATGAAGAAACGATAAATACGTGAGGACGCGTCATTGCTTCCGCTCACCGACAGATTATCGATGAAAGTGGTACCAGTAATCATTCGCGAACCATATCAAATAAGGAACAACAAATATTTAGCGAAATTTCACTCACTTAATAATGAGGAACATGATTTCATTGAAACCGTTATACACCACATTAGCGGTGTACATCACCCAAATCGAATCTGCTCGAGCGGTTATCAGCAAATTGATCGCGTGAATTGCTGATCCGAATGCGATGATCAACTCGCCCCACTGCTGCCAATCGAAACCTAGCCAACCGAACATTATTGCACAAAGTGTTCCTGGAATTCCTTTAGCGATTACCCCACGATTTCCGCGCTCCTACTGATAACGCTCACTTTGTTCATTACGCAATCGGCAGTTACAATCAACAGTAACGTATGCTCCCTTTGGATAGCTGGCAGTGAAAAGATGAATTTTATGTATTTACCAGTCAGAGTCCTGATCAATTCTGCGAAACCGTTGAACTGCTGTAATTTACCGTCCTCCACTTCGTTCCACATGGCTTGTGAGTATTGCGAAATCTTGAAAATCAGTTCATAAGCTTAATCGTACGATATATAAGTCAGTCCCAAATAATGACATCTTTCAAAATAAATACTATTGGTCAGATGGCACTGTGATCATTTTCGCTAAACATTGTGTGCAAATTGTTTGATTGGAACTCTCGAATGAGTATCGGTCTTTATGGAAGTTTCACGGCACTAACAGTTGCACCACAATTTAAGAGGAATTGTCTTCAGGCAACGGTGGGACAATCTCAAAAACAATGTCAGAATGACATAGTAAAACACAAAGGTTACGTGCGCTGGTGCAAAGCCGCAGATAGCAAAGGACAACAATTTGTTGATTTGCACACTAAATGTGAATCGACAAAAACTCTTCAGTAGAATTCATTATACATTGCCAAGGATGAGTGGCGCTACTGAAGCAGCTGAATGATTAATAAATAATTAAGGTCCTCTCATATGGTCTGTGACCCGAGCACATCAAATTACCTGAGTTCTCATACAAAACAGTAAAGCAAACCATAAAGACCATTTCCGAATGTGACCATCATGAATGAGTTTAACGAAATTTTTTCGCATTGTTTTGAGTCGATAAATAATAAAAGCTCTATATGTCTCTGGAACTGCTTTGGACAGCTGCGATTCTGAAATGAATACGGAAAGTGGATACTGTTGCACAGTGCTGATTCATAGATATTTATTCTTGTGCTGGCGGAAAAAATTCACACAAATTAACCAGAAAGCCCATGCTCACAGATGGGGAATGAATTTCATTTCAATGGCCTTACTGAAACAACCTGACACACGTCCTGTTATTCACATAAATGCGTAAAGAAAGGAATAGTTTTTGTTGAACAGTAATTAGGTGACCAGTTCAACGAATAACCTGATGAATCATGGAACCGCAGCTGCATATTTTGCCATCGAATCCGTGGCAAAAATATCAACAGTGGAAAAACGAAGATTATTACTATCAAATGGATCTGTTCAACTGTTTCTAAAGTTCCCAGATCGAGAAGTAAAATCATTGCAGCTATAAAACATCCCAAAGAACTGCCAGCCAAAGAACTTGCGCGAGTCCAGCTCGTAATCCTGAAAATCTCAGCATGATACTGATTATTAGTCCATTCTGCAGTGTTTTTTTCTGCTACTGTTCCTATACTCGCTTCAAAATTTTCACTTATTCCAGTAGGAACTGATGGATATTGTTTCTCAGGGATCGCTAAACTACAGCTCTCAGGACAAATTCGTTGGACTCACAAAAGCCTTCCGAAAATGAGTGAAATGCGATTCGTGCGTTGATTTCATTGGGTACGCGGCGGATTTATCCGGCTCACGAACCATCCTGAACGATTGTTCATAGTTTTAGAATGATTNAACCAAATAATGATTCGATACATCGTATGTACGTTTCCGACGACTTAACATTTCACGTATTCTAATGACGTACTTTATCGTTTCATCCTATTTTTTTTCTAATTTTCGCAGCAAATGAAAGATGCCACACTCAGAAAAGATGTCCAATGCGATTGTGAGATAATAGCAATGACTTAGAAGCATTGCCAAATAGAACTTTTGCATGTGCCGAAGGGTTTCTGTGAATTAATTCCTCAATGGTCTTTTTTGAGATTGGAACTTAGTGTTCATTTTTGAGAATAGATTTTGTTCTGTACTACAAGTTATCGGTTTTTCGATTGGAAACTTCAGTTCTCCTCTCCAAAATAATTTCAATCAAAACCTTGAACTTTATCAAAATTGTTTTATTGATGCACTTTTTGCCGGAAAATATCCCTGTAATTTCGCATTTTCCGTTTTCTTTTTTAATTTTCGACATCGCTCATTCAACACAATGGCTTATTTGCTGAAGACTTTGTTATTCTAATGAACTGTTAAACTCCAATTGCTTCACATTATTAAGCTGTTAACTGCTGATGAAATTTTGCATCCAAAGTCAAGTTGTAAAGAATGTCCTCGGAAATCTGATTACTACTTGAAATATTATAATTCTCATCCTTTCGGCTTCTCAAGAGTTCAATGATTGGAAATTTTTCGTCTTGTATCAGTATCCCCGACAAGATCGATTTCCCCCATGATGTCGTCTCGTACTTCTGATGGGAACGTTGACAATGTTTCATCGTATCGATTCAAAAGTTGTTTAAAGACGCAAGATCACTACTTTCTTAGCATGAATTGCGAAAGAGAGTTGTTTCTGATGCACTCATAAAGGGGACACATAAAACGCAACAAGGTCAAAAGCGAGTTTTAGATCTTCTGACTGTGGAAATCAATGAAAATGAATGCTACGAACGACACCGAAGTGATATGGCAGCATCAGAATCTCAACAAATGCATGAAACGTGGAGAATTATGAAGTTATGAAAATTTGATGTTATTTGCATCGGATGGACGTAGGGGCCTGCGGGAGCATTCTGAACACTTCAATCCCGTCAACATCTGAAAAAGTGCGCCGACCCCTGTTCTGGATGCGTGGACGAATTTCAAGATAAACCATTTCACTCACTTCAAATACGCATCCTTATCGAAGTAGGCATACATATAGCCAACTGTTGCTACATCAGCTGATCGTGCAATCATCAAAAAAATTGCTGCTATTTGTTGAGAGAGTTTACTGCGACCCCAAACGACCAGTGATCTGAAAGGAACAATGTGCTGATTCCACCAAAAACTTGAAACTGTCTTCATGAGTTGCGCTTAAAGTGCCTATTTTCTGGTATGCTGCACAAAATTATGGGATCTTTTTCAAGGGCGTAGCTATGATTTTGTGCATGGAGCAGGAGGAGGGAGTAGAGGACGCAAAGGGTGTTCGGCTGGATTTGTTCACGTTTGCTTTGTCTTCCTTTTCCTTCCTCCTCTTTTCCTCACTGTATTCCATCCTTTTCCATTCCATTTTCCCTCCTCCCTCCAAAGAAGAATGCTGGACTTGTGCACCCCAACTCCCAACACCACTAGCTACGTCACCTGACTATGCGGGAGAAGTGGACATCATTTGCAGCAAAAGTACCTGGAAGTTATCATAGCTATTGGTTCCAACCACATTACTGGCACATAAAGAAGTATATCGGTGAAAAGGAAGGCTGGTATGGATGAAAACGCGCGAGCATAGGCGTTGATCGGATTTACCTGCAAACAATTGCTTTCGAAAATTTGCGTTATCGAACAATCACTGACATTTCATTGCCTGTTTGAAATAAGAAGATAGAATTAACCTCATTGGCCAGTTCGGATTTTGTCAGATTCAGAAATTCACT